ATTTATACAGACCTACCTATAAGAAATAAGAATATTTAATTTAATTTTTAAGATTCAATCTCCCCTTTTCATTTTTCTTTTTAATTTTGCGTCTTTACATGCCTTACACTGCTGCTTTTTTTTTAGTTTCTATAATAAGAATGTTAAATAATTTCTTTTGTACGTGGCCGATAATTTATAAAGCTGTAAATAAACAAGTACATGCATATGCATGTATGACCGCCGCTCAACTAACTTATGTCATCTTAATGTAAATGTTCATTTAATTCTATTACTTTTTTTTTCATATGTCAAATTGTTCACTTTGTATAGAAAAAAAAAACATTAAAAAAATTTTCAATAGTAATTTAAGGGCAATATATAAATTTATTTATTTAAAGTACAATACAGTCTCGATATTTTAAACGCAACAAATTAGAAATTCAAAAAAAAAATTCTGCTAAAGGTCTACCAAAAAGATTTTAAAATAAAGAACGATTAACCCACCGAAATATTGGACAGACCCACCATTTATTGTAGGTTGTCAAAATATAGACTCATATTTCATTCTAAACGGATCTCAAAATGAAAAAAAAAATTCACATAGCTTTGGATTATCCAAAATCGTGCCTTTGTTAATGCTTTAAATTGCAAAATCCAATTTTTTATGAAATTTATTTAGCTTTCTAACTGTTGAAGATATGGAGATCCAGCAAAATCACAACGAGCCTATGTGAATTTTATTGTAGCCACGTCAACCTAACCTTACTTCATAATAATAAATATTCCTATTCCGCTTCACATTTACTCTGAATTTCGTTCCCCTACAACAATAATTTATCCGAGAGTCTATTCCCATTTATGATTCAATTTTTCGATTAAAACTCTCTTTATTCGAGTAAAACTTATTTTACTGTGTTCTTACATGTTTTTTTCAAAAAATATTTTAAACATACACATTATACTTATATAAAAAAAAAGCAAATGGAACACAAAATAATATCCGACAATAAAAAGTGCAAGTTTCAAGTGAGTCTAAGTTTCCAAATCAAATAAAATTTTCTGATTCAGAAATACAAGTGTATGTAAATTTGTGCATCATGATTTACACATTGTTCCTCATTTGTAACAAAAAAAAAACTAATATTTTTTCATCTCAAAATGCCTATATGCTCCTATAATATATGAACAAATTTTGATTCAATATGATAATGTTCTATATAAAGTAAAATTACAGCTATCACCGCGCATTTTTTCATATAAAGGGAACACAAGACAAGAGAGATAAAATATAAAGTAAAAAAAAAATTTAAGTCAGTTGAGTTCACATTTTATTTAAAAGCGTTGGTGGTACTTCTTCTGACAAAATTATTAAAGAATTTAATTTTATTCAGACAATAAGAAATTGTGTCTTTTTAATAAAATAAAAACAAAGAAAAAACAACAATTTCAATGAGTACATAATGTGAGAGTATAAAGGAAATCATAAATCTGTTTCATTTTGCGACCACAGCGTTCCTGCACACTGATAACAAGTGGGTTTATTTAAAAACGTAAAAAAAAGACGATTGGACAAAAAACAGAAAACTAAATCAATTCAATAAAAAAAATTTAATAACACTCTATGAAAACAAAAGCAACAAAAAGTCAAAGTTTAAATAAAAAACAAAAAATATTAAAATAATTCACTTGAAAAATTGGCAGACGACCAGACGTCAACTTGAGTGTAAAAGAAATCCTTTTAATCTATAAAAGTAAAAAGACAAAAAAATACGAAAAAGAAATTGATAGAAAAGATAAACAAGATAAAAAAAGGCAAGAAGATATAATATGACAATTTTGAAAGATGAAAACAAATGAAGTGTGTAAAGTGTTAAATTATATTTTGACATAAATCAAAATGTCATTACTTTTACAGATATGGGTACATAGACTCGCACATCCAAATAAACATACCTACACAATTATATGGAAATGATGGTCAATAATATTTTGAATGAAATTCGATACCCCACTAACTATTAAAATTAACATTATTATTTTTACACTCGAATAAATATTTTGCTAAATGTTAATTTTAAATACTTTACTTGTAACATAATTTTATGTATGTACATACTTATACATGTAAGTCATATATGTATACATACATATGTATATAAAATGGATGAATGCATATTTGAATTGCTGTTTTGTGTTTTTTTTTTTTGTTTCTGCAGAAATGAAATATGATACTTTTTATGCTTCTTATTAAAATTAATTAAACCAAGACCTACCACATAAAACAATGTTATAATAAATTTTAGCATAGAAAACAACGTTTTAATAATTCAATTCAGTTAATAAACCGCGTTTTGTTCGGTATATGCAAAAATTATGTATAAACAAACAATGATTATGCAATCTAAGCGCATAATCGTTGAAATTAGAGTTAAAAAAAATGAATTAATTAAATAATTTGGTTTTAAATCAGTTTGCTTGTTTTTTTGGTGGTGATGACTAAATGATTTAGCTACTGCCTTTAAGATAATGTTGGTATTGAAAATTAAGTAATTAGAAATTTTTTCCAAATTAATTTTAAAGTAAATATTTGCCTATATTCTTATTAAATCTATGCTTTATCATTATCAGAACGTTGAACACCAATCTATTACTGATGAGCAAATCTAAAGGAACTATGAAGTTGTATTAGTAAAATTCATAATATAATTAGTGGAATAAAAAAAATACTTACGCTGAGTCCTAATACATTAAAACAGCGAACAGTTAATAATCGCCATTTTTTTTTTGTTGAAGCTTCATAACTAGGTATAACGAAAAAACAAATTTATAGCTAATTGCATAATTTCTTTCAATTTGGAAATAACAACTGAAATATATGAGGGAGTTAACGTAATTTTTATTTTATTCATTGGCTAGTATTTTAGATTTGTGCACCGGTGGAACTCCAGGTAAGCTTTTTTTCTATGTTTAACGGCCAGCATGGGTCTCACCCGTGAAAACAGAAAATATTCTGGGTTCATTAGTTCTGGTATTGTACGTTTTAATTGGAATATTAAGAATAATTTCCATAATTTAAACGATTCCTTTAAAAAAAATCATTCAACATAATTTCGTTGCCAAATTATTTAGAAAAGGATTTTTCCAGAATAAGGCTTACAATTAAATTCAACAATTTTGGAATTGAATAATGACAACAATTATTACAATTTATAATTATTTTATTTAGAACAGTACAACTGCCGAAAATATAAATAAAACAAAGCGAGAAAATACAAACAGACATACATACTTAAATAAAAGTCGCTATACAACAATGCAATTTTAACGAGTCGAAAAAAATCTGTTACTGACTCAAATTTATTATAAAATTCCGAAGACGTCAGGTAGACCTCACATGAGATTATTTTACTTGTTACCACAAAATTAAACATAAATTCTTTAATCATTTTCACATCATGGTCCTAAAATCTAAACAATTTATTTGATAAAATAAAAAGTGGTGTAAACTCATTATATAAATTATTATAAACAATTTTTTTTCAGACTTAGATAATTAGATAAACATTACATAATCTTAAAAATAATCGCGCCACCTTGAAAAGTTGAATGAACTTCTAAAACTAATCATAAATAACTTTTGAACGTAAATTTGTAAACAAAGACTTTTGAAGTTTTACCTAAACGCTATAATGTTATCAAAACATTATCAAAAGAAAAATATAAACAAAAAAAATAAATCCCGCCACAGAATTTATTTTTATTTAAAACTCATTATTACTTTACATTTTAGATCTAAAAGTGCATTATAAAATATTCATTCCATTTGTATTAGCTCTAAAGTTACAAAGTAATGTGAAAGTTTTATAATATTGGCATTCATTACTTTCAGTTAGGCCTTAACTGAATATCATAATAAATTTTTTTATTTTTTTTTTGTAGGTTATTGATAGTAAATTATACTTATAAATAACTAATACTTCCCGAAGTTGGAAAATCAATAAAATCGGATAAAATCAATTCTTTGTTTAGTAGCACGTTTTCCTTTAACAATTTGAAAGAAATAGGCAACACGCTTTTATTTAAAAAATAGTGTTTCATTGAAATTGCTTTTATAAGATACATATCATATATTATTGCATACTTTTAGGAAATTAAAAATTATAAAGTGCATTAATGTACTAATTAAAAACTATGCGGCTTATTAACGGTCAGACAGTATGTATTTCTTTTTTAATTGTGATGGAAATGTGCTCAAGTTAGTGAAAAAATTCTACAAAATGAAATAGCAAAATTTATATATTCTTTGAATATTTAAAATGGTGTATAATCAATAACGTACATTAATATTTTTAATAGTTACATTATTATGATAGTTACATTATTATAATAAATTCCAGAACCCTATCTGAATTGGATGTGATCAAAGCAGTGGTTCGGTTAACTAAAACTATTGAAATTATAGTTCTGAAATTTCACGCTAATAAATTTGTTAATATGGCCATTATTTTCAGTACAGTCTTTAAAATTGTATGGGTTCATACGGTAATTTTTTATTTATGTATAAAATAGCATTACCTACACATACTACATATAGCACGACCTATAAAAAAAACAAGAAGCCACATTGAACAGTGTGGCAAGTATCCACATTTAACACTATTCATTTGAACGGGTATTACAGAGTGTAATTATATATTTTAATTTTAATTTGAAAGGGTATCATTATAAAAATGTTTTCTACTAATAATTTCGTAGTTTTCAAATAATCGGAAAATGCTAATAATAAAAAGAAAATCTTACTATTATAAATATTTTAAAGGAATAAAATCTTTTATACCTAACAAAGCATACTTTTGAAAATTAACACTTGCTTAAGCATACACATACAATGTATAGTTACTTGTTTCTGCAGCATCCTATATTAGATTTATTTAATGTTTTATAGCATATAAAAACATAATATTCTTTAACTTTATAACTATAACGTATTTGATCTATATTTATATAACTGAACTTACATTATTTTCAAATTCATTCAATTCATCCAAATAATCAAGACCCAATCGCTTATGCATATTATCAACAAATTTATTTAATGAATCGATTCGCCTTTGGAGTTGTGTGACTCGTATTGAATTCCATATCTGTAAAAGAAAAAAAATAGAAATTAGAATAAACCTTAGGATGGTATAAGGTTACATTTATTAATTGTGTAGGTATATAAATATCAAAATACATATATACATATAGTAAATAAATAAATTTTAAGTAAATACATATACATAAATGTACACACATATTTGCATATAATGCTTAAGATTTACAAAGTTAAAATAAGAAAGAATCTAGTAAGAAATTAAAATTGTACGAAAAAAAAATTAAAAAATTTTAATTAGGAAACATCTTGTTAAAAACAAGACATAAGAAGGTGAAAAAAACATATGATAAGAAAATAGACATTGTATGTATACATATGTTTGTATACATATGTATGTATAGACACAAACAAGAAATTATTTAAGCAATCATTTTACCAGAAGCGGAACTAGATAGAACGAAGTGAAAGTAAACGCGCCCTTAGTTGTTGACAAAAAAAACACTTTAAATTCATTCATATAAGAGCAACCACATTTCATTGAAAAGGAAATTTATACTTTTGAATTACAAATCAATAGTTTTTCATTATTTTTCAATAAATTTTAGATTTTCAACATTTTTCAGTTGTCGAAATGGTTTTGACGCCGTAAGTACAATATGTATACAGCATATGTATGCATATGCTTTACTTTCGTTTAAATATAGCCTTTAACTTGCAACAAATAATAGCACTTTACTATAAAAGAATACCAGTAATTGTTACTTAACAAATTGATAAGCAGTCAGGGATTATTGCTTCTCGTTTTGAGAAAATTTAAATAGTGATACTTGTAAAAAAATTAAGGAAAGTATCAGTGAAAGAATTTTCTCAATGAGCAAGTATTGAAAAATTTCTTCAAATAAGAGTGTACTGCAATTATTTTAATAACACAAACTTTCGTTTTTAAAATTGTTCTGCTTTCCTTCGAAATTCACAAATGAACATTTAATGATCCGGAATATTAAATACGTTAAGCAAAATTCAAGTGTTTCGAATTTTAAATTTTCTTTATTTAAAGCCAAAATAAATATTTAAATACTTAATATTAAATAATAACGAAAACTTACAAAATCTAAGATTTATTCAAGTTTTTACAATCATACCTAAGTATATAAGTAGCTTAATTTTTATATACAAAGAAATACCATATTTTAGCGTAATTAAACCGAAATGAATCAAACACACAATACATACTTATGTACGTAACTACATTCACAAGCAAATATTAATGCAATTAATACAAAAATTTTGTATATACATACGAGTACGTTGTATGTACATAAACATATAATATAAACAAAAAAATAAATTAATGCTAGACGCTTGAATGTCGACGATTTGTAAAAAAAAAAATTTCTTTTGAAATCTTCAAATCAATGTTGGCACTCAATTGGCTCTTTCAATTGTAATTTTTTCTGACACTTTGCTAAATAATGTAAGTAATTTTTTTTGTTAAGTATGTATGTATGTATATAAGAATGTATGTAAATTTCGAAATATCTACAGAAGTGATGAAAATTTTTTTATTTTCTTTTCTTTTTTTACAATTCATTTAAAGGTCATTTAGTGCAAAATAGCAAAAAATCAAAAATTGAATCATAGAAATTTGTGGGTTACGTTCACTTCGCAAAAAAAATATAAAATGTTCATCAACATTCTGCAAAAATTAATGATATTGACACAGGTGCATAGAGTCCGAGATTAATTTGATGCTCTCACTCCCAAACTCAAAATAAGTTGATTTTCAGCCGTGAGTTTTGTTTTGCAAAAATCTTCTAACTAATTTACAATGATCTTTCTATATTAATATATATGTACATATATGTATAAACAGGAAAATGTATAGGAAATGATAATATCAAAGAATTTTTACAATACTTTAAAAGCAAAAAATTAAAACGTTACATGAAAAGACTAAACTAAATAAGATGAAGGTGTAAATTATAATAAAAAAAAGACAATATTTGCTCTTAACTATAACAATCTAGTTATCTAATTGTTAACATTAATAAACTTTAGCTGTTATGATCCACAGGTAAATGGATTACTATGCCTAATCTAGAGAAATTCTAATTTATATCTTAAATGTATAAAAATATTCTAGAAAAAAACAACTTATTACAAATTTTAAATAAATATTGTTTTAAAGTCCAACATTCCATTCTGTCATAAAAATAAACTTTAAGACTGAAATTTTTTTATCTTTATCTAAGATTTTAATATAAATAAAATTTTTCTGTACACTGATAAAATAAATTCAACCATTTTTATCAAATTATAAATTTAACTTGCATTAGCGCGATCATCTTAATTAAATTTATTCTTATTTTACAAACCCCGTCATGTAAAAAATATTTTGTAAAGAAATAAAGTTTACAGATTGCATATTTAAAATATAAAAATACCAAATTAAATGCCGGTCTACTATGAGAATCAATGAGAAGCAAAATTAAAAATTAAATATTTAGACAAGCGATGAACTCAGTAACGAGCCTATAAATTTACCGCAACTCTTCTACTAATATCGTAACAGAAATTCTCACATTTCAATTACATAAGTTATAATTACTTTAATTTAAAAAATAATTATTACATTTCTGATACTTCAATTTAATTTAAAAAATAATTTAAAATTTAAGAATTGAATAATGCAAAATAACTCCATAAGTTATTTTGCATTATCTCAGAAATTATTGGAGCTATAGTATATAAATTTCCTCAAAACAAGTGTATTATTAGGGCTGTTAAAATCGTTAAAATTTCTTGATTCCTTATGGTAGCTGCCATGAAACTTCAATAGTAGTCATATCTTAGAAAATATTGAAAACACTGTACTGAAATTTTGCATTAATTAAAATTGTAATACGGCAATTTAAAGTCATAATCTGTCCCATAGTCAGCTATAGCATATTTACTTGCACATAGGATAACAAATTCGTACGGATATCACAGAGTTGACACGGTCAACTATATTTTTTCTTGTTTTTTATTAGTTTTTACTCAAATTTTTGCTAATGCATTCAGCCGTTTATAAGAACCGTCAATTTTATTAAATTGTAATCTTTATAAATTCACAAATAAATTAATCCCACCAAAAATATTTTCATATGGAATGTTGCCAAGACGGAATCACATAACTTGCAATGTTTAAATTCAAATTTGATGTAGAGACAATATTCTAACTCTATCCGCCATAACTCTGCACATTACTACTAATACAATTTTGTTTTCTTGTACTTATAAAAAATTCAACTAATTATAAGAAACTCAATATTTAAAACAAAAGGTGTCGTTTTATTGTTTTAACCCTTACACATATTTAGGCAACAAATGATTTTAACTTTTAAATTAGAAATCATGCTTTATAATCTAAGTAATCTAAATAATGTACTACATAATTTTTTTTTGTTTTCTTTCATGCCTCATTTAAGTTCTTTGTTTTTATAGAATGGGTACCCTTTATTAAACAAATGGGTACTTATCTTCAAACAAATATGTAAGTATGCATATACCAATTTTATGATGCATTTAAACTTAATTATACTCAGTGATTCCAAAATTAAAATGTTGTACCTTAAAAATTTTTTTAGGATGAAAATACAAACACAAAATACATACAATAATATCAACATAATATTCATGTATTATACAATTTTATATTATGTAACACGATTATTTTCCCTGAATGTGGGATGTTAATGTTCTAGAATGTGGAATGAAAATAATTACTACTAATAACGAAAAAATAATATTATACGTTCTTTATAACATTTTTTTTTCCCATTGAGTTCCCTCATAAGGTTATAATAATGTACGTCATACCACCTATGTACATGTACGTTACATATGTATATTAAACATATCATATACAACAATGTACAGTGTATAGTATAAAATGCGTATGACATGCATGCATAATGATATGAAAATTTTTATATAAAAAATTTTTCAAATTATTTGTGCTGGAATATTTGGAATTTCTTTGAGTTAATTTTGAATTTAAATTTAATGTTGAATTTTTTGATATAAGTAATAAAGAAACTTAATAAAAGGTTTAAGATGTTAAATTTATATTAAAATGTTATAAGTATAACAATATATATACATACTTGAAACTTTGTATTTTGATAAACGTGTGATTATACGTTGTACGCTCATACAATATTTTGTACGTGGATAGTCATAAACTTTTACAATACCAACAAAAATAATTGTACTTGTCCTTTACGTTGGAGTTTTTTAAAATTTATAAAATCAAAGAAAATAAAGGTTATTAAATTATTATACTACATTTTCTAAACATATACATACAAAAAACAAGCGTAACACCCCGTGACAACATATAAAACTCCAAAACATTACAGATAATTTTCCAAATTTAACGGTTGGTATAATATTTTTGTTGTTTGGAGCCTGTAACGGATTTCCTCACACTTGTTGATCCTTGGTTGTAATATAGCATAATTTTAATTTCATCACAGAATATAACATCGTTGCAGTAACGTTCTGGTTCATCCTTATAAGTTTCGGCAAAACAAATATTATACCAACCGTTAAATTTGAAAATTATCTGTCACACTTGTTTTTTAAAGATGGTCATATAGACAAGCAACAATATCTAGACATTTTAAAAACGAACCTGGTAAACAAAGTCAAAAAATTTGGTCTTGTTGGTTATTATAAATTTTATCGGTATAACCGCCTCCAGCATAAATCTTATTTGGTAAGAAACTGTTTGCTTCATGACTGTCCAAAATTGTTCGAAACACTTCCCAAAAGTCCAGACCTCAATCCAATTGAGAATTTTTGGGCCCACTTGAAGTGACCTTATAAAACATATAATAGAAGAATTGTCCAAAATTTCGAATTAAATTGATATGGAAAAATTGACTACTTGTATGAAACGATGACTTTGGGCTGTTCCAAATCTACGGGCTATCACGTAAAGTATTAAATTTAACAATTGTAGCTGCATTTTATTTTTTTGCGTAATATTAGATTAAAAAA